TTAATATAATAATCCTATTTATATAATCAATGCGAAAATTTATAACCACATGGATAGATGGATATTTGTTACTCTTTCACGCAAAAACTTCTGAACAGATTTGAATGAAATTTGGTACATGTGGAGACTATATCCTAACTTAGCACATGGGATACCAAATGCACTGATTCATCGAGTCAGTTGCCATATACAGCAGTACAGAAATTGTACATGTACCAGTTATTTGGATCCCATGGCTATTAGTGAAAGGGAGGCATTGCCAGCCTCTCAAGTTTCTAGTACAACTACAGTTTACACAGAACTATGTGATTAATATAAACTGCAGTGATCTTCCATAGTACTTTTATGATCAGTGTTATGTGTTTCAGCTCACTATTTCACAATTATAAACATAACTCTCTCCTGTTGTATGTGTACTTTTAAGTTTGTGTATGTTTATGTATGTATTTGTTTATGTATATATATGTATATACATATATATGTATATATCTTTGTATATATTTGTTTATATATAATAGTACTAATATAATAGTGCGCCACCTACCCTTTGTTTTTCTTTCTCTTTCTCAATGTTCTCTACCCAAAGGTTGTCTGGAAGAGATTGCTTAGCGATAAGGCCGCCTTTTGTATCATTTCTTATTACAGTTAAATGTGTTTACTATTTTATAAATGGTGCAATAAAGTGTATATAAATAAACTATTTAAAAAAAATATACATGACATTTAGATGATATTAGATTTATATTGATTTTATAAAAAAAAGTTAAATAATGATAAAAGCTAACTCATATTTGAGAACTAGAGAATAATAGTGGAAATGTTAGTCTAATAAGGTATCTATTTTTTAAAATTATGCAATCACAGCCTTTTTACAAAAACTAATAAGATTTCAATATATTCTATTTAAATTAAAACTTTGAATTTTTTTTTTTACTTAATCTAAGCAAAGAATAGCTTACAGCTTATAAGACTTTAAAGATAAACTCAAAGATAATGAATAATATATGCACCTCTGATCCTTAATAGTGACAAAGGCCAGGACCCTATCGAGTGACGTCTGCCAGCTACGACTTGCACGATCTTCTGAAGGAGTTCTCTAAAAAATGCAACAGAAAATGTTTATTTATTTATACATTATTATACACAATAATGGCCGTGGCATAGACTAGGCCACCCCTTCCTATTCTGTGGGTGTCATAAGAGCCGATTAAGGGAGAATGAGGGATTGGCAGCAGCGTCTCCCTTAAAACATTTCTAAAGCCTGACTGCGGTTGTGGCCTGCCAAGTGTGGCAACTACTGGCAAAATCCCCCAAAGGAGAGCTTAGAGGCTCAGCAGTGGACAGTTAAAAGCTGATATGATGATACACAATAATATTACATAAAAAAATGTGATAGAGATAAGCAATATAAGCAAAGGTGAACTCAACTATAATTGTTCTCTTACAACAAATCCTTATTGGATGTATTACATATGATGTGATTTTTATACACCATTACTAACAATCCCTTTCCAAATTACATAAGTACTCACAACAGGTGTGGTAGTGGGCCTAGAGTAATGGCTGGAGCGCAGCGGAGTCGTTGTAGACTGGCCATATCTATCACCTTGTTGAGATCTGGACCTCTGATTTAAATAATTTAAACAGATAAATTAAATTTTTTTATATATTTACAAGATTTATTATCTTGTAAATGCATGAAAATGACAATTTATTAATAACAAAATCTGAAAATTCATTAAATCCTATATGCAGTTAAGACAGAATGTTTAGTGTGATAATTATTGTTGTCATGCTTTGTTTATCATTACATATGGTTAATAATATTTATTCAATGAATTTTAAATATGTTTTACATATTTGTATAATGAATATATAAATAATAAAAATAAATAAATAAATAAATAATGGATATTTATATTGTCCCAATATATTAGATTTAGAGATAGGATTAAATTCCACAACAATAATATTTAATTTGTTTTAAATTTGTTCATACTATAATAATTTAGGTGTAACTTACTCCATTAAGAGGAATCTTTGTAGCTGATGCTTCTCTACTCAGCCTGCCACTACCAAATGTTGCTCGAGGAGGATCAGCGCTGCTAGACCGGTGTCCTGTAGTACTTGGCCGGCGAAATTCCGTCGATAGGCGGTCCGTTGATCCCGGCCGGCGAGGTTTGGGTAATAATGATGGTTTACCTTCCAACCTAATGACAGTGGGGGGAAGGGATTGTTAGTAATGAGCTCTAATAGCCCCATTGCTTGCAATATACCCTGTTAAGTCGACTTCCACGCGGTTCCCCCTAGAAACTATCTGACTGATTTACCGTTGAATTAGTCACGATAGGCTAACTGACCTGTTTTTTCATCCTCACCAATCATGCCTCACTGGTGCCCCGCCAGTGTATACCAATAACGCAGGCGGGGTTACTATTACATTATCATCCATTAAAAAAAACCTAACGACAGTTTAAAACTTAAATCTACCTTAGGTAAGTTTTCGACACTTTGTATAAGTTCGTTTAAATAAAACAATCAAAGACTATGACTTAGAGCAATATATACGGGATCCAACTTATACTAATTAAATAGAACGTAGCCAAAGATTATTGTAGTATAAATAAAAAATAAACTGTACCGTGATTTACGCATAGCTGAAGAATGTCCAGCGGCAAATCTTGCTGGTATCATAGTATTATACGTACACAATCTAACTAATGTGAACAAAGTATATAACGAAAATAAACAAAATTTTGAGATTTAGTTTAACTAAATTTTATAGAAAATAATAGATTTCAAAACAATAACACTACGTTGAGAATGAGATTTTTAAATTTCAAACAACAACAATTCAACGAATTAAACCATAGATAACGATCTGACTTCAGCTGTCAATGTCAGCGATAATTTTATTACTTTTTCTTTGGTTAAAACTATAAATTACGAATAATTACGGCATTATTCAAGGGTAAAATCTCCAGGGGGTAATAAAATAAAATTCCAAAATCACGGACTCAATTTTGTATTTTCATTCACATCAAAATTGGCCTAATAAATGGAGCTTAACATTTCATTCGTCATAAATCCTACCATAAAAGTGCAAAGGAACGATTTTTTTTAAACGATATTTTAATTGAAACACAAATTTTATATCAAATTTGTGTTTCATTTGGCCTCAAAAATTCGGAAATATTTCACGGTAGGCCACTACTAAAATTTCTTAAAATAAAAAAAAAAAACTTGTTTCAAGCAATTAACAAATTTAATTAATTCATTTATAAAGTAGCATTAATGTTAGTATTTTTCCATTCACTTAAAATTAATTTTTCAGTTTTCATAACTAGTTGAGGAAAAGCTGGGTCAAGTAAGCATATTTTTACAAAATCCTTGTAATTTACAGGCATTTGTTTAATCGAATCAGGTATAGCATCTGTAAAATATGTTAAAAAGTAAATCGATTGCAATTTTAAATAGTATTAAAATTTATATTTTTTAATGTATATGATCTCATAGGTAAAAAATTTACTAAATCTGCCGCTTCGCTAGTGTAGTATGAGTAGGTTTATATCCTTCTCTTAATAAAAAAGAACGAAGCTTTGATAAAATTTTATTAAAAGAAAATATATTTTGTAAAATGATATAATACTAGTACGTTATGTAAATATTAATAGAATTTAGCATCTTACCTACGCTTAAAAAAGTAATAACTTGTACCACTTTCGCCAAAATACTATACAGAATATTTTAACGTATAATGTAAAGCTCTTCCACAGCTTTATCACTTTTAAAAATATGAGAAGTCATCTTGGTAGTAAAATCAATTTCATATTTTACTTTATTATTTGTATACAAAAAATTTGTTGTAATAATAAAGTTTAATAATTTAATTATATAATAAGTAAAGAATATAATATATACCTTTAGCGGACAATGCTGCTTTTAGTACTTCATCAATATTGCAATATTGAAATCTATTATTTTCGGAATTTACACAGTTATGATTTATCATAGGAAAATGTGCTCCGAGTTTGGTAAAACACTGTGCAGGATCGGAATTTACTTGAAATTTTAATTTGCGAATCTATGACGAATTTGAGAAAAGTAAAGAATTTTAAGTTCATAAATATCGGCTATAAAATATTTTAAAGCCAATATTTATGAACTTGCTTACTGCTCCTTTTTTGTTGCATATTATAAGAATTAAAACATCTTCTTTGTATATTCCTTTCATTTTACTAGTGAAATTTAATGTCTCCAAAATCTTATTGTCTTCCGTAATTAAAAGTTGATCGCAGTAAATACGTAACATTAACTTCGAAGTCTTAACTTTGTAGTTAATCCAATTGCTAGCCTTCCATATCATTAGTTTATCAATGGCTGTCGAATACATATCTGTAATTTTAAATTTATTTTATATTATATTATTCCTTATATCAAGTATTTTGGAATATAACAAACTAATATATGTAAATAATTGATCCAATTAATTACATTCGGCTTATTGTTAATTTTTAATCGAAACTTAAAACAATAACAACAAATAAATCGCGCCAAACTTTTATTTTTTAATCTAGGTAGTAATTTTTTTATAAGTAATTTACGTGTAAAACCTTTAGTATGTTATACTGATTGACTTAGTATAACATACTTTAATCTAAGTGTAAAACAGATTAAGTTCCTAGGCTGACATACATAAAAAATATACACGAAAATTTTAGAACAATCTTGTCTTTTCATTTGTTTTGTCAGTTAATGAATAATTATTTTCATAATTTATCATTTTCCTACACGACGGAATTCTATTATAAAATGACGCGTCTATTGTCTATAAGTTATAGACAGTGCACGAGTCATATTATAACTTAAAAAAGTAAAAATTTCCTATTGCAATTTAAACAGTGTGAAAGTAAACTTAATTTTAAGTTTATTATATTAGATTAGAAGAATTATTAATCATATTATTAATTAATGTTCATCTATGTTCGCCGATCGTAGCACACAGCTTTATTTAAAAATTTTGAAACTGTCAATGTCAATTTCGCAGTCATGAATGACAACTAAAAATATTATGAATTTCATGGTCTCCGACCTTAGCCTGTTCCAAACGGAACAAACGTACTAAAAAAAAAAAATATTATGAATTTGTACTTTCTTTAAATTCTATATTGTTTAGAAATAAACAATTTCACTATATATTAAAATGGCGGGGACATATTATTTTGTCATTGTTGGGCATTCGGATAATCCAATATTTGAAATAGATTTCATTCCAGCCACTAAGGAAGTGAAGGTAAAATTCGTAAAATAAACACAACTATGGGTCACTAATATTTAAGTCAATTGGAATCGATTAAGGTACGAAAATAATGACCTTATTTTTTACAGAAAGAAGATAACAGACATTTAAATCAGTTTATAGCTCACGCAGCTCTAGACTTAGTTGATGAACACATGTGGAAAGTGACTAACACATATTTGAAATCTGTTGATAAGTTCAACCAGTGGTTTGTTTCTGCTTTCGTTACTGTTAGCCAGGTATTGTAATGAATAATATTTTAAGAAAAGTAACATGTTTTACATTAAAATGTTTTGTTTTTGTATGATCCTAAATTTATATATTATGTATAAATATTTTATTAAGTACAATTTTACAATTAAGATTTAAAATTTCCCCAAAATATAGTTTACTGTACTCTGTGCTATGTAATATGATGTGGATATAAGACTACTAAAATAATAGAAAAAATGATTAAAACATTTCATTCAGTTAATAATTTGATTTTGACTTCAATTTTTTAACTCTATAAAGCCAGTAAAACTGTCAACGTATAGATTTATATTGACTATTAATTCAATATTATTTCAATTGTTGTAGATGCGGTTTATAATGGTGCATGATGCACGCAATGAAGACGGCATCAAGAACTTCTTTACAGATGTTTATGAAGCCTACATAAAATTGATGTTGAATCCATTCTATAAAGAAGACACACCTATAACATTACCAGCTTTTGAGAAGAAAGTACAATTTCTTGGGAAAAAATATTTAACATAGTAAATTCGACAGTGAACAAATCAACAAATTACAAGATTAAATTATTTAATTATAAGAGATGTAAATATATTAAGTACATAAAACTAATTTAAGAGTTTCAGAAGTTTTATTATAAACAGTTTCCTAAAATATCACACAAATGAAAAGGCGGACATGGTTATGCAACTATAAAAGACCATGAAAATCTTTGCTTATAATTTAGTGATATCCAGGAATATTGAAGTCAATATGTGGAGATAAATCATTCATACTTATAATAATGTATCTATAAGGTATACAAAACAATTATATTGTAAATTCTTGCTTTAATAGTGCTAGCACTTATTGTCCTTACAGATTTTGTCAATGTCTTCTACAAACTCTGGCAATAAATAGAAAAAATGCTGTTACCCATAACATGTGTAATATTTATTGTGATAAATATTACATGCTTACGTAATTAACATACATATTAATTTGACTTAATTATCAATTAGAGCAAAGAGGTCTATGACAAAACCTAATTCTGAAGTTTTGAACCTAAAATTTTCTGTAAGATGATGAAACATGTTCTTATTAAAATAGAAATTAATAAAAAATAAAAATTCCTTAAAAACCTGTTTTTATAGCAATATAAATATAATATAGCAGTATTCCAATTTTAGTGTTTCTTGTTTTATTCAAATTTAAAAAAACTAAACTCTTGAAATCTGCCTCTTTAATTAAAAAAGAGGCTGCACTCACTATCTGTAGGTGGTGAATGAATTAATAATAAAGTGGTGTTTGCTAATACTCATATGAAAATGTCCCTTGTGTCCTATACACAATATGGTCAACACTATTAATTAATAAAAATTTGTCATTATGTTATAGTGAACATTTATATTTATGGCATTGAATTGATTTGAATTAATTTATTTTCATATTATAAAATCAATTTCTGTGCATCACAATTTACTTAGAAGATCTTTAATAGTTATATTTCCAGGTTTTAACTTTAGGTCATTGCTGTAATAATTATAGTAATTATTGCCAAAACTTACTGTTTGTACTTCTAAACGATGTAACTAAAACTTAATATTAAATTTCTCACAAACAATACAAAATCTAAAATGTGTGTTTATATTTTTTTTATCCAATAATTACAGAAAATTGATAAAGTCAATATAAAGTACATAAATTAGATTTTAGACAATGGATAAATGAGTTGAACTCTTTTTAATATAAATCAGGGAGACCAAGATCTTCATTCGGGATGCTGTCATTTGAAAACTCATCTGTAGAATAAATAATGTTATATGTATTATTTATATTTAAATCAAATTCAATATAAACTTTAAGTACCCATAAAAATTATTATTATATTAGTCATCGAGATCCATAAAAGATCATTCATCAATATATTTTTATTATGAATCTACCATAGATCTGTTTAGAAAAAACTACAGGGAATACAACAATTATTCTTTTCTGTTAACTTTATGTATATTTATTTGATTTTATTCTATATTTAACTTACAGAACATAATATTTTACTTTGTCTATAATTTTGGAAGTTATTACTCAATCACATTATGTTAAAGTGGTTAAAGAGATTTAAATACAATTTATTATGCATGCAGGCCATGTTTTGTATAAAATATAACAAACTGTTGATCATAATTTACAGGTGTAATGGGTAAAACTTAGATTGACATAAAACAAATTACCTTTAAAGAACTCGTCCTCATAAGAACAATCAAATTCAACATTATGCTGAGCTATGGTTGGTGGTGGAGTGGTGGGTGGGGAGAACTGCCTCAGAATCGGTGGTTCTGGTACTTGAAGATAACCAAATAGATCCCTAGGGTAAGAATCTGTAACAGCCAGTTATATTTGCAATTACTTACTACTTTGTAGATGGTTATATGTATGAAAATTTATCATAAACATTGTTTCTGCCTACTCTAATGGGAATCAGGTGTACATACATACATACATATCTGTCATGCTTGTCCCCCATTAGGGTAGGCAGAAACAATGGAACGCCAAATGCTTCAATTCAAACAAACCTCTTTCGCTTCTTCCACATTCATCAATCTTGTCATACACGCTCGCACGGAACCAGGTGTGGCAGATATATATGTATCTTATGATAAATATGGATAACTGTCATGAATATGAACAAACTAATCTAATAGTGAGATTTCTGTGAAACGAGTATGTATTCTCTTTTACATACAAGTTTTTGTTGGTATTGATACATTTGAACTACATTGTAAAAAATAAAATTAATTTCTCAATAATAATACCAGTTCTAAAAAATAAAAACACATAAGAAACTTAAGGCTACACACTAATTGAAAGAGACATTAAAAAGAGTCTTTGAGGATTTTTCATGTACCCACCATATTTCTTTGAAGGTTTTGTAAACTCCAACTCTTCAGTATTCCATTCTTTATTTTTAGTTTCTGCTCTGGTATCATTGTATATGAGAGAACCCACATTCACAGCTCGTGGTGTAAATGCTTTCCTTGCTGGAGTGCTTTGAAGAGCTTTACCAGCATTTGAAAGAAATGACTTCTTTGCGTCTCCTTTTTTTAAAGGCTCATTTGGTTTAATCGGACCGATTGATACAGTCTTCCCCATATTTTCTACAAAAATAATATTTTTATATGTTAAATATGTACATATCCAACAACAAATTGTAGCGATATACAAATATTAATTATATTTACCAATGTTTGCTATAGGTTGGCGCGAAACATTTTTCATAGTCTGCCTTGTTAAGTGATCACCAAATATATCAAACAGAGATTCAGCCATTATTAATAAGTATTTTTTTTAGAATCCAAAAGCAATATAATTAATCTATTAAGATGTTTCTTGATGCAATTGATATAAACAGTTACAATAGAAAAATATAAACGTTTGAAGAGAACGGTCGACTCTTTTTTAAATTTGGCATATAGAAATCTGTCATACTAAAAATGCTGAAACTTCAATTATAGACTGAGGATATTATTCTCTTTCTAGGCTTAATTGGTAGATTAGATTTTATTGTTTACGATTTTTGTTTATAGACAGAGATGAAGTTTCACCGTCTTCTTTCACAAATGGATAGTGGTACATCCGGGGTTACTGTAAGAACAAGGAATTTCTTATTCTTAGAAGTTACTTATCTGATGGTTTACAATTAGTAAAAACTTATGTCAATCAAGATCAATCTAATGTCATTTTAGTTAAATCTAAAGTTCAATGAAACAAAATGTCTCTAATCTGTGAACAAAATAATCAACAAACACTTTATAATATGTGTATTGTTGTACATTAATGTACTAACTTTTTATTTTTCATATTTTTTGTAAAGAAATCTATAAGTTCAAAAGGGAGAAAAATTAAAATATGTCCAATCCAGAAGATAAATCTATGAAATATAATGGCTTGGATACCGACCCTTTACAAAGATTACCTTCCTTCAAAGCACCTCGCGATCTTACACTTGGAGCGAATAAACCAAACAAAAAAGTATTTACTCCGAATTTAAATGTAACGAGGAATAAAAATAAAGGGTGAGTAGTTACTAAAATTTCTGAAAACATGATAACATTTTGTCAATTTTTCATTTTTAGAATGAAAAACACAATGCCGATAACAAAACCTTAAAATTTGTAGGCCTACTTTAAATATATCAAGAGATCCCAAGAAAGACGACAAAGGGCGAAGAGATCGTAAAAATGATCGGAAAAATTTTAGGAACGGTCCTAATATAATAAAGTCAGGAGGGGTGTTCTCAGAAGGTAATATTCTATTTAATATAAAGAACTAACATTTGTGTATATATGATCATTAAATTATCTTTGAAACTACTTACCTGATTCTTAAAGTTCACAAAATATAACATGACTTAGTGGAGGAAAATACTTTATAATGATTATCTTAATTATATTTTATTTATTTATTATTTATTTAACTCTTTGTTGCACCAGAAACAAAAAAATAAATAAATACAATTACAATTAAATAACTCAAGAGAAATACAGTAACATAAATACAGATTGAAATATATGCATAAAGGTACAAGAGGCAGTCTTATCGCTAGGGCAATCTCTTACAGATAATGTTTAATTTTTATACAGGTAAAACTGAAGAGCATTTTATTGTGTAATTAAGATGATGTATATTTATAATAATAAATGTGTGTGTTTTAAAGATAAACATTATATTTGTTTATCTAACTATTTTAACTCTGGTTTAGGTAGCCATTGGGGCTGATGCAGAGGTGCCACATGGTTAAATTTATGTCTTAACCTAATATTTAAATATGACACTTTATTCAAATTACCCTTTTATTGACTATCATAGACTAAAATTATAATAATTTAGACTTAAATCTATTAGAAAATTAGTTCATATTGTTTTTTACAATAAAGACTTTGATGTGATATCAAATTTTATTTTAGATAGGTTTAAAGTAACTGAAATTCTGATGTGCCATCAGAATCAATTCTAATGTCTATTTAGTAGATATCATAAGTATAATGGCACATTATTAAAAAAGTTATTAGAAGCTAAACATTGAATGTAAACAACTATGCACAACACTGAACACTTAGTCCTAGTTAAATGTAGAAATTTCATTTTCTAATTTTTTTTGCAACTTAGAATGGCAAACAAGCTAATGGCACACCTGATGGAAAGTGGTAACCGTTACCTATAGACATGAGCAGTAACATGGACATAACAGAGTATACTGTTTCGCCCATGATACCCCACATGCGTTGCCATTCCTGAGGACTCAGGTGTTATTCCTCTGTACACAGTAAATTCACTGCCATATCCCACCCTTCAAACCGAAACACAGCCATGCAAACATAGTCATTCAAACACAGCAATGCAAACACAGCTATGCAAACACAGTCATGCAAATAGAACTGCTTCATGGTAGAAACATTAATGGGCCAGAGGGCCCAAGCAAAAGACTTGTACAAAGTCTCTCTTTTTTAGATTGAGCTCTTTTCACTAATTTAAAATACATCAACATATCTACCAGATATAAATAAAATAATTTATTCTATTCTGTTTATTCTACTTCAACATAACATTCCATGACTTTTTAATGTACTTATTTAAGTTTTAGATAGCATGAGCTATCATGTCTACCCAGTGTTTGTTTGGTTGACCTCACTTCCTTTTCTTTCTTGTATCTATTCCACTATTTTCTCCAGTGTAGTAGTAGTGTCCATCTACTCAGTCTATCATGGAGTCATGTGCACTGTAAAGGTTCTTATATGAACATTACAATGTAACATTTGTTATGACTAGGTTTGGGCAGTTCTGAGAGGCACTATAACCGCACATCATATGGCAGGGACTCGGAGTCCGCTGCTGCATTACAGAAACCCACCATAAGGGTGAAGGATGTCATTAAAGTATGTATGAAAAGTATTTATTAACTTTATAAATTAAAATTTTATTTGTAAAATATGATTATAGAAAAATTTAACCAGTTAAAACTGTACTGTACACGTAAACTTGTATTTCAAAGTTTTTTTTTCTGTTCATATGACATGGTACAGAGTGCATCCGCCAAAAGCAAAGTTTGAGAAAGTGCATTTTACTTAAGGGAGTAGTTCAAAATATTTATTTTTGGTTAACTTTCAACTATAATGTTATCTGTACAGTATAAATTTTTTAAACATGAATTCAAGTAAGTATGTTTGTGGATAACAAATCTTTTTGATACTGATGTAATATAGAAAGAAAGAAAGAAAACATTTATTGGCAACAAGGAAAAATTACATAAATTACCTACATTACATAAATAATATACCTTTAACTGTTTTTTGTGCTAACATTTTCTAAACTGGTTTAATAAAAAAAGGTGGGTAATTGCATTTAGCTTAAATGCAAATTACCTTAAAAGAATGAATTTTTATATTTGTCTTCATGTTCTTGTGCAGAAGTTTTTTTTAAATGAATGTATGAATTAATTATATATTACTCATGTAAAATGTTTTTCTCAAATAAAAATTATAGTATTAATAACTGTAATTGGCTAAAATACAAAATACATATTACAATTTTTTGTTTTATATTTATTTAATTTTATTAACTTTATTTTTTATAGATTGATAAAGAATTAGAAGAGCAGAAGATAAAGTCAGTGGTGGGGGATAGTAATTACGATGATGACTCGAGTGTGGACTTCAAACGAGTCATTGAGAAAGATGCACCAGTCAAATTACCTATGGGTGATGGAGGTATTCATAGCTATTTATTTTATTGGTGATATGTTTTAATTCTAAATACTCATCAATTTCGTATCGTTTAAGATTAAGAAGTATAGGGAGTGGTGTGTTTAGAGTTAACTAAAATTTATCTTAATGTAAATAGGTAAGCATTTTTTTTAACTAATTTAATTTTAAGTGCAGAATAAAGAATCTTTTATACAGGTACTGAAGACTTTTCATTCTTGTTATGTTTGATGAAAATATTAATTAATTCTTTGTTCTTTATTGTACACAAAAAGACATTTTATTAGAGTAATAATTAAACAATTTAATGCACAAGGGAGTTTATCTCTAAAAGAGATTTCTTCCAGCATACCCAATATAAGATAAACTTACAGTTTATTCATAGTTACAGGCATACATGTGTACCAATTGACTCAAATGTTATAGTTAAATATAAATAAATAAAAAACTGATATCACTTATCTGTAGTTTGGAAAAATACTACAAAGTCAGTTTCTCATATTATAGGCTGGTTGCAAAACCAGACGAAGTCAACTGTGAAGGTAAAACAGGAGGTGGCGATCAAGAGCGAGCCTGGAGACGATGTAGACTGCGCCAGTAAGATGCATCAATTTACTGTCCATCTTGATTGCACTGAGTCGACAATGTAGTTTGAATTTATCAACATTATTTCAAACTGTATCCTTCCAATACAAACTTACTATAAAGTTTTTTTTTATACAACTTAGAATGGTAAACAAGCTGACGGCCCACCTGATGGAAAGTGGTAACCGTCGCTTATAGACATGAGCAGTACCATGGACATAACAGAGTATACTGTTTCGCCCATGATACCCCCCATGCGTTGCCATTCCTGAGGACTCAGATGTTATTCCTCTGTACCCTGTATATTCACGTCATATCCCACCCTTCAAACCGAAACACAGCCATGCAAACACAACTGCCTCACGGTTGAATTCAGCACGATGAATTCCAGGGAGGGACCACGTGGCGGTTGACCTGACCTGACATATTACTAGCAATACGACTGCTTGTCCGCGTGAATAACGACCCAAGTCATCTACCAGCTAGCAATATACCCTGTCAGGTCGACTTCCACGTGGTCTCTCCTGGAAACAATTTTGCTGAATGCCAGGTGTATTCATCACGATGGGCTAACTGCCTTACCTGCCTTTTCATTCTCATCTGTCATCTATCACTAGTGTTCCGCCAGCGTATACCGTTAACACAGGCGGGGTTACCATTCCATTGTCATCTGTTAAAAAAAACTATAGCATTAAAATGTTACCATTCCATTATCATCTTATAAAAAAAACTAATAGCTTTATATCGTGCATCTCACCTTATTTAATTGTAATAAAGTTACAAATCGTATGTCGACTCAGTACTGCTCAAGTGGACTTTACAGTTGCGCAGTTCCCGAGGTGCCGTGCAGATTATTCTGCCCGGTCGGTCGGAGCAGCTACATCAGAACCAGATAACTTGGCGCAATCAGATGGGTGGGGTTTCTAAAAAAATAACAATTTTATATTTTAATATGTGCTTTATAATTATAAGGCCCAAGAATGGCAACACTTTTTTACTCTTTGTCTTTGGTATTGTTTTTTCTTTTATTTTATTTTTAATAAAATCTAAAATGGCCTCTCCCATCAGTGTTGCTCCAAGAACATTTTTTACAGAAATTTCGATGCATTTATTGTGTGGTCGAAATATCTTATATGGCCTAATGTTATTTTTTTTTATAAATATTAATTATTATAATAGCTTATAGCTTTCGTTATTGACTATCTCCCATTCATTGTTAACCGCTGTCGCTGTTCTTATATCTATCCAGATCCCCTAAACAAATGGTAAACGACTCTATCGATTGATACGTTTTCGTTACCACATACGTGAAGTAAAACGAGACCATAATATCCGGCGTGTTTTATTTTTTGTAACCAACAAAAAACGTATTGTCGATAGATTCGTTTGCAACTTGTCTATGGATTTATATAGATAGAATATTATAATAATTGATAGCTAAATGGGATTTCATTTAGGCTGTTAAGTATTAATTTATTAGCTTTTGCTACTAAAATCAATGCAATACACTGCCTCTAAACGTCATTTCAAGGTAAAACATACACTAGTTTTTAATTTTGGAACACAACTGTGAAAATTGTATCCAATTTGGTGCAGTACTTTTTGAGTAATTCCCATATAAACAGAAAAACGGACGGACAGAACTAGGAAATACAGAAATAGGAAAACCAGGGAAATAGATCACTTGTATAGGACGCATCAAGATGGAACATAACCAGTTTTTAAGTTTTACCAATACAACCATAAAAATCGCATCTAATTTGTTACACATACAGACGGACAGACAAAGTTTCTAAAAATATTGTTTTAAATTCTATTGCTCTTATTAAAAATCCTCAAAAATATAATAATATAAATATAATATTTTTTTTCTCAATTATCTCTTCGATACAGACAATGTCTTGTTACAATTTTATTAGTAAGATATCTGTTTATTTGTTTGTTTATTTACATAGCAAGTCTTTTGCGGGATAGACAGAGAGAGCCGTGTCAGAGGCCTATATTAGGGTGTCCCAAGATAGAAGGACAATTTTTTTTGCTAAATTAAGTGCGCGTACCCTCTATTTTTATTCCGTTTGACCTTATTGACTCAAATAATAAATATTATTACGACTGGACAGTGATAACCCGTGCCGACATGACGCCAAACTTTTGACATGATTTGTTCTGACTCTGTCTATATGAAGAATTAAGAATTTAGTTTTTATTTCTTAATTAAAACTCCATTACAACCGAATAGCATATTATTTACTCATTTACATTAATAAATAATGTTATTGTTCAAATTTTCTTTTGAACATTTGTTTTTTTTTTCAGTCAGAACAAATTTTCCAGTGTTCTTGTACGCAACGTTACAAATATTGTTTTTGTTCCTCCTCAACTGTGATTAATCCATGAGTTTTGTATCAACTTAAACACCCTTTCGTCTACATCGTTTCGTGCTGAATCTTTCTAGCTTCTTGAAACGAAATACTATTTGATCACAGTGTAGAACATTCATGTCTTCAATTTTAAAGTGATTGAACAAGGACTTTTACTGAATAAAAATCAGGGATGTTTTTTTTTTCTGAAACAAAATAAGAGTACTTTTAGTAGAAAAATGTACTTTTACAGAAAACGTAGGCAAAAACTTCTATAACTATTCATGTCAATGTTCTTTAATAAACGTACCATACAATGAACCGCAAAGTTCTTCTTTCGATGGGATGTATCGTTTTTCTTAAGTTATTTCTTCTTTGGTTAAATTATGATCAACCATTTTAACTTTAGATATTTTGTCCACCTCATCGTCAAACAGTGATAATATAGAAACTTCGTCAGTTAAATATCACAAATGTCAAGTTATCTTCTGCAAGGCTGCTTTTAAGAGCGTTTTATCAGTTTTCTCGTAAGACTTCGTTGATTTCAAAAAGCACAAATCTTGGTAAGCTGCTTTTATTGCTGAAGTCCATTGGCGCCGTGGTTTAATGTTGGATGTTACAATGAACAAGCAAACGTCAAACAATGCAGCCTTGTCTTGCATATGATCTTAAACCGAGCACTAAGTAACGCTATTTTCAGGGAATCAATTGTTCTCGCTATCCATCAAGCTTGGTGCAGTAGAATTATAATAAAGAAATGCAACTTTATCTTCTAAATTCCAGTCTACAATCGCGTTCCAAACTGTCTGCGCTTGTTCACATCCTGTGGAACTTTCTAATCTTGGCACAGCAATAAGTTGTTCTTTGTTTTCATAAGAAATAACTATAGGAAAACATTCTTCTTTTGATTTACAAGCATTTAATACAGGCAAAAGCTTGCCGTCCCAAAGAACAGTCACAACTTCTGGTCAACCATGAATGAAATAAATTTTAATGACTTCAGGGCGCTCTTTCCGTTTTTCTGTGTGAATTCTTTAGATGGAAGGTTTATTTATCGGACAATCATCAATATTATATCCAAGTGCTTGATCCTATCCAAATATATGAACAATAGGTGTTGACGCCTATCCAGCGCTACTACTAATTTTGGAGTAATGAAATCTTTCCGCAGAGGTGTTTTGTTGGGTTGCGTTTTCTCGACAAGATTCGGTACGTCTAAATCGTCTCTTGTAAATCTAAGTTTTCATTAGATTGACAAGATCAGACGTCTTGTAATGGTACATAAGATGATGTTCAAAGAGTCGGCTCAGACAAATATTTTGTACGTTGTTTTTCTTCTTCAATAGTTCTGAGGCGCGCTCTTTCCTCTCTAACAGTTAATTTTTCATCCACTCCTGCTAAGTGGTCAGGTCGGCCTGGCTCTTTTTGACCCTGTAAAAACATTTTATCCTCATTTATTTTTAATTGAAGAGCATCGGCGTGTGCAATATCAAACAAATTTATCTAAATTATTTACAAAGTCTTGACGGCGCTGCTTAAATAGGTATTGTGTTTCTTTACAAGTCCCTCCAAATTCGATATAAGTTTACAAGTTTCTTCACACAATTAGGCAAAGATTTAGTAGGAATACGCGCCTTTTCCCAATTCGAATAGTGTGATGCGGGGTCTCATTGACAGTTTAATTCACTTTACGGATATTCTAAAATAAAACTGCTAGAACTTGTCCATTAGAATTAGGTTTTGAACCAGTTTTACATCACATCTCAAAAATATACCCCTATTTAGTACTGCGTAATTTCACTGGTCTGTCACTGATTAAAAACAATGCATGTTCTACATATCGACATGTTAGGTCGCGTCATCCTTAGAGAGCAAGTAATGACATGTATCAATGTAAGTCGACACGGGTTATTGTGGTCCCGCTTTCTTAAAATCTTATTTATAATTGTTTTGACTTGAAAGTAAAAAAATTAGAGGGTATGCGTAAAATATATGTTAATAATAGGGTGGGGCGAAAAACTATACAATTAGGAATTTTACAAAGAATTTTAAATTTCCAGTGGCTATCGAAGACAAAAAACCATTTGTAGATATAAAGCAGGAGGTATTCGAAAATACAGACGTGGTGAATTTACTGAAGAGTGATCAGCCTACGCTTATATTGCTACAGGTATTGGCAATATCACTTTGTTTTGCTGAACTAGGTGTGATCTTGTGGAAGTCAGCATGATCTAGAATCTGTCAAACGGGATATGACAGTGAATTTACAGGGTACAGAGATATAACACCTGGGTTCTCAGAAATTGCAACGCATAGAGGGTATTTTGGGCGAAACAGTACACTCTGTTATGTCCATGGTACTGTTCTTATCTATAGGCGACGATCACCGCTAAGTTGCATACAAAAATCCCAGGTACGTGGACAAAGTGTGACAATATCACATACAGGTATTTAATTTTTAATTAATTTCTGTCGATTCCATTTAATTTCTGTCTCTAAAAAGAGAGACTCCTCGTGTAAGCAAGTTCAGAATAGATCCGATGCATTTTAATTGATATGTTCAGTATATGTATTGAATCGCATTGTATTGTGTAATTTTTATGAAATGAAGGTAGTTTCACATTATGTTTTTAGTTGATATTTGATAAATTACGCACGCTAACAGAAGATACGAGTATTAAGTGCATGTTCATAGTTTTAAATTTCTTCTTTAAGTGATTTATGTATAAATCTTTAGAGAAATAAATGTCTTAAAACCGTATATGTTCCAGTTGCCAGACACCTTGCCAGGGCGGGGAGGTAGCATGGAAGATAATGCGCCAAGACGGAAGCAGACAGATCAGCCGTGTACTTCCACGGGGGAGAGCAAAGAGGAAAAACCGGTATATAATAAATATACCGGTATAGTTATTACCGGTATATTCATTTATAGAATTACCAACGCTAGATACAGCAAAGCATTTTAATACAATACACTAGTGGATTAGGGCAAACTGTTCTTACATTTAGAGGCAATAATAATAAAAAAATCTGGTATCTATATCAAGCCAAGCAATAAATAGGAGGTTCGACTCTCGGTTGAGACAATTAAGCTTAAGTGTTTCCCTAAAATAGCTCACTGCTGGGCAGGTATTCTGGTTTTTTTAATGGGTGATAATGGAATGGTAACCCCGCCTGCGCTAACGGTATACGCTGGCAGGTAACGGTATACCATTGAGGGATGATGGGTGACGATAAAAGCAGGTCAGTTAGCCCATCGTGATGAATTCCACGAGAATTACCCACCATGGTTTCCAGGGGGAACCGCGTGGAGGTCGACCTGATAGGGTGTAGTGCTAGCAATGGGTCAGTTCGACCCCCCCATTACTAACAATCCCTTTCCCCCCTCGGTATTCTGGTTGGACCACCAGGGTTTTCTTATTTAAGACCAGGAAATTAGTGTGATATTATCAAGCAAGATAAAAGATTAAAAAAAAAAATAGAATGTACGTATGTAGTAGTATGTACGCTTGTCTTATTACCTAATTATAAATTCTTTATTATTGCATTCTAGCAGACGGAATCGGAAAAGGTAATTAATATAGATACCATAGACTTTTATGTTAGGTGTCATGTCATATAAGGAGGTCAAAGATATGGCTTGGAATAGAATGCATGAACTAGTTCCACCGACAAAAGGAAATACTAATAAAAAAATGTCATTATATATTTATAGTATATTTTTCAAATATTTTTAAATACACAATCGGGGCTGAACGCGTTGAAAAAGCTTTTACAGTTATATAGTCCCTACTATGCACTTGTACAATATATGTTATTTTCTACAAAGTAAACAATATTAGGCTTTATTACGAATGGACTAAAAGTTATGCCAAAGATTTTCTTCTGTCTACTTTCTTGTTGCCTTAAAAACGTGATAAAATCAAGCCAACTGTTTGAGGGGACTCATGTCTCTTGTCTATGCCCCTATTTCACTGAGCATTGTTGTATTGAAGGGGATCCTATCACAGTCTCCATTAAATTTTGGTATATTACCAATGGCATCAATTCCGAAGCGCTATTTCTCTAAACCTATTGCTCATGTGTATAGCCGACGGTTACCACTTTCCATCAGGTGAGCCGTCAGCTTGTTTACTATTCTAAGCTGCGTGGAAAAAAACACCAGAGGGAGACTTTGTACAAAAGTCGATTGCTTGGGTACCTCTGTCCCATTCGTATTTCAACCGTAAAGCAGTTGTATTTGCATAGCTGTGTTTCGGTTTGAAGGGTGGGATATGGCGTGAAATTACTGGAATTACAGAGGAATAACACCTGAGTCCTCAGGAATGGCAACGCATGGGGGTGATCATGGACGAAACAGTATACTCTGTTATGTCCATGGTACTGCACATGTCTATAGGCGACGGTTACCACTTTCCATCAGGTGGGCCGTCAGCTCGTTTACTATTTTAAGTTGCATGGAAAAAACTATCTCTAAAATTAAACTTTCAATTTGATATCACACAAATTGACACAATTGGTTAGAATATTACCAGGTAATGTCTGAAATTATTATTTGTACTGTAGGTTGATAATCGATGCCGCTTGGCCGATTTGGAAGAAGGCCGCATTGGGAAACTGCGAGTGCATCGGTCTGGCCGCGTGAGTTTAGCACTCGGGGACACCATATTTGAGGTACAAATTACAAGATGAGTGTGAAGGGGGGATGTTTTGTGTAATATAAGGACATATATATTTAATAGATGATAATGGAATGGTAACCCCGCCTACGCTATCGGTATACACTGGCAGAGCACCAGTGAAGGATGATAGGTGAGGATGAAGTAGGTCAGTTAGCCCATCGTGACGAATATAACAAGAATTGTTCACGATGGTTTCCCGGAGGAACCACGTAGAGGTCGACCTAATAAGGCATATTGCTAGCAATGGGGCTGTCAAACTCTATTGCTAACAATCCCTTTTCCCCCGGACATATATATTACACAATATATTAATCAGTTTAAAACCAAATTTAATGTTTCTTTTTGTATTTAGTACAATAAACTGACATGTTGATATGGTACCAACTTACTAATACAGCGAACGATCAATATAAGCAACTCATTTGAACCAATTTTAATAAAAAAGTTCTTATTGGGGAAAGTTACTTATAGAGGAAAAAGGAGTATAAAAATACTTAGCATCTGGAAAATATTTTTACTTATTTCTTGTACTAAGCTCAGTAGAATACATAAAATATAAAGAATGTTGCTTATATAGAGCGTTCACTGAATTATAAATGTGAAAGGGTGTTTGTCACCTATTGGTGCTTCAATGGTTTAGCCAATAATTATGGAATTGGATATAGGGGTGCTATTAAGGATGAACAAAGATATAGGCTACTGTTTATCCCGGTTAGTGAATATATCTCGGTTACGCCGACGAAATCTCGGTCAAGTTAATATTATACATTTTAAATGTTGCCGATGTGAACAATACCTCTCCCTATACCAATAACTTTAGGGTTGCCATCTGTAAAATCAACTAGCAAAATTCAAAATTTAAAATGAGCTGTATGCTTGTTTGCCACCTCAGTGGTACAAAAAATCCTTTATGTTATGAATTTTCGAATTAATTTTTATAAAAATAATTAAAAATACAAATCTACGATTTAGAAAATGAGATTATTCTGTAAATGTATGGCAACCATAAATGTGTTCCTGCTCTTGAGCACCAACCCTGTCTCTTGAATCAGTTAAGACAATTATATCTATCTTATACTGAAGGTTTACTCTGGCACCAAACCTGCGTTCTACCAAGAAGTGGTGTCGGTGGCTGTCGACGACGCGTCGCGCTCCGCCAACATGGTGGCGCTGGGTCCCCTGCAGCACAAACTAAACCTCGTCCCCAACTGGGAGTCCATGTTTCAAGACTTACCCAAGTAGTAACTGTATCTATAGTGTTTTGTAAATAAAGAAATTATAATGTTACATATTGCTCTTGTTTTTTATTATATTTTTTAAAATACCATGACAGTTCACAAATCATTTCATATAACTAGATGTTTGCAGAGTTTCTCCAAATATCAAAAGTGAACACATTTGGAGGTCTGCCATGAAATGTTTGATGCCATGTTTGGAAATGCCTTGAAATGTTGAATTTAATTTCCATCATAACATTGAATGCCTAAAATTTATATAAAAGACCAAATTCACTTTAAGTTGATCATGTCTGGATACCTTTTTAATGTCCATTGTAGAAAAAAAAGAACATAACTGTGAAATTGATTTTTTTAACCATTTTTCCTTTAATTTTAAATTTCTGTTTGGACCCAATTTCATGCATACAATAAATCCCCCTGAAAGAATTATAATATTTTTTTTTATTATTACATCCATATTAAGAGTAACATAGGTAATCCACTGTAGGACAAGTATAGTATTATTTGTGATGTAGGGTAATATGCACTAAAAACATAATAGGAACTGTTTTTTTTTAAGCAATTTGGCAAAAAGCTGTCAATTAAGTTTAGACATGTTTATTATTTTCATAGTACAATGATACACAAATAACAATTACTATTTTATATTTTTTATAAATTACTTTCTTAATATTTTATTAAACTTCATGACAATCTAAATGGTGCAGTGGTTTAATACACTGCAACATTCTCCAATTGTTATAAATTGTTTCCCATATAATACAAACATTTGTACTTATGTATATTTCTGTTTATTGAGTTTTTCTATGAATATGAATGCGCATATTTACAAAAAAAGTATTTTCTATCAGTTATCTAGTACCTATAGTACAAATGCTATTTAGTTTCGAACTAGATGTAGCTGTTTGATGCCTACTAGTATTTATTTATTAATATGGAACATTTCAAACAGCTTTGGGAGTTGTTTTATGTTTAGGTGGGATAGCAGGTGACTCTCTTCCAAGATACTGGTTGCCTTGCAGGTCTATAGCAAAGTTGTAGTCAACAGGGTTAGCCAGGGCATGGTCTATGGCTGCATCCAGATTCTCTGGTGTTATGAAGGTCTTGCTTAATTCCTGGAAAACAGAATAACGGTAATATAAGAAAAAATACATTATTCATTTACAAGTTACTGGGATATATTAATTTATCAGGATAAAGATAGCTTATGCGCTTTGCAATCATAGATGAATATAACAAATTTTGTAATGTTAGGTTAACAGAGCACCAAGATGCACAATGGCCCAAATGAGAGGCTAAGGGCGGAAAATAGAATCCTATTCACATTTTAGAGCACCAAAAGAATTTCACATTTATAAAATTTGTATAAATAATAATCCTTATTGTTCTTACTTTCATAATAATATTAAAAATGTAAAGTATGTTTTATTACCTCTTGGTGGCTTATCCAATCACTATAAAATTTGGTATATAGGTATTATATGGGATGGAGAAGGACATAGGCCACATTCTATCCTGATTAATAAACATATACTGTAGGCCTACCATGAAATGATTTCCGAATTTCGGGGACAAACGAAACAGAAATTTGATGTTAAAATTACATAATACATGCCGTTTAAAATTATTAAAAATGTTAAAATATCGTTCCTCTGGACTATTAGGATAGGATTTATGATGAACAAAATGTTAAGCTCCATTTACTGGCTCGATTTCGGTACGAACAAAAACACGAAATTGAGCCCGAAAATTCGGAATTTCATTTCATGGTAGACCCCCTAGTCATGTGGATGAAGTTGTGGGTAAAAGCTATTAGTCATATATATAATTAAGTATACTAATGAAAGTAAACATGAAGTAATAATTAATTAAATGTACTACATTACTTGCCTTTTGTTTTCTAATCTCTTGTGAAGCTTTTTCAATCCTCTCTTTTAATTCTCTGTCCTTGGCTTCCATTCTAGCTAATGCATACTCTTCCATTTTAGCCAGTTCCTTCTTTCTTCTTTCCTCGCGCTCCAGAGCCACTTGAGCGTTCCATTTGTCGTTTATTTCCACACATCGTTGCCAGTCATCAGCCTCTAATTTTTGAGACATCTCCGAGCTAGAACTCTCTCGAGTTGATTTTTCTTTAATCATTTCCTCATGATAAAACCTCCTTATAGCTCGCATCTGTGTTTTATAGTTATTATTCACTCGTAAAAGCTCTATTCTTTCTTCTTCAGTAATTTCTGGACGTTTTGGAATACGATAAATTTTACTTTTAGCAACGGGCACCCATCGGGGTTTTCTGTGAGCTTCCGCGTATTGTACAATTACAGGCCAGGTACGTTTAAGAAGGGCGTTATGAGAAATCATAATTGTGTATTATATATATTAATTAAATATTACCCTAAAAATATTATAAATAATAGTTTTGTTTGAAGGAAAATGGGAATAAAAGATAACATAACCTTAAAAAAGTACACTGATTGACGACTAATTGATCGATGAATTTTTGTATGACTGATAGACTGACGTTTCACTCAAAGCAATAAAGTAGAACTGTGCAAAGATAATTTAGACTATAGAGAGGTTTGAAAATTAAAATATAAAAATTTTTTTCAAAATAGTATTTCATATACTATATACTCTGTTATGTCCATGGTACTGCTCATGTCTATAGGCGACGGTTACCACTTTTCATCAGGTGGACCGTCAGCTTATTAACCATTCTAAGTTACATAAAAGAACAATTTCAAAACCACAATACATTTTGAAGCCCAATACTAAACTCATTTTGTGAATATCTTATATTTTTATTTCTATATCCGTTTTGGTTTTTAAAATTAGCAAACAAGGAAAGGTCATTATATTTAAAAAGAGGTGTTGTTACGATTGTCGTTTTTATTGAATGAAGCAATTAAGAATGGTATCTGTGATGGCATTCTCTTTCTATGGTTCGTAAATGGTGGTTGTAGCTACTCGTAAACGTCAGTCAGTCATCACTCATCAGTAATTTTTGTTAATTGACATTGACACGGACCAACCGGTACGTGATTGAGGTTGATAAGCTTGATTTTACATTATTATTGTTTTGTTTATAAAATGAACATGGTTAGATAAGTCAGTAATTTTTATTTAATATATTATCTTTTTACCTATGTGAAGGAAATTAACTTAAAATGATAAAAATATCGGCACTGAATGACGAGTCTGAGGAAGAAAGTGGTTCTGAAGTGGAAGTAACTAAAGAGGCTCTAGAACAAATTGCGTTACAACAATATGCAAAAGCTCTGGAGTTACAAAGAAAAGGTAATCTTAGAGATGCCACACAACTTCTTAAAGATCTTCTCGATACTGAGTTGCTGTATGACGTCAAAAAGCCAGCGCAAGGTGAGAAAATCACTGGACCATTATTCAACTTGAAGTATTTGTGTTTTAAAAACCTTGCGGCTATGTTGAGTGCTGCTGATGAGGTCGACGCAGCTATAGATTGTTACTGCTCAGCTTCTGAGTTGGATGATACTGACATCACTCTTTGGTACCGTCTTGGTCAGTTGTGTATGAAGGCCAAACGCTATGAAATGGCTCTGCACTCATTTCAGCAAGGTGCCAATTGTAATCCACGCCATTGGCCATGTCTTGACAAAATTGTTACTTTATTATTAGGCTTAGATTGCAAAGAAGAGTGTATATCAACTATTTATGACACACTGCAGCTTGATCCGGGCTATTTAAGAGGTTTGGCTTATAGGAAGCACATATATACTGTTTACCCATACATAAGAGAGTTTATGGAATACCTTAATCCCATGTATAAATGGGTGGAGAAGGATGACGAACCAATTGATGATGAGAAAGCACAACAATTATTAAAAGAAGCAGAAGAAATTAATGAAATATATTTAGAGCAGCAGCGAGCCCAGCAATTCAAATATATATTACCAAATTTAAAATTAAGGACTCCAATAACTAGCCTGACATGGAAGTCTGTTGGAGAGTCACTTGTGGATATGCATCATTACATGACAGAGAATTGCTATAGTCATGCTTGTCATATTGAAATTATTTTTGAGAAAGAAGAAAAAGAGGAACCAATGGAGGTTTGTGAAGAATCTAAAGAAATTGAACCATTGGATACTAAACCAGAAGAAAATAATACAGATAATGAAAAAAATATTGAGAATGTATCAGAAAATGAGAATAATGATTTATCTGATAAAGATAAAGCTACAACTGATACTGAAAAAGTTGAGAGTGATGTAGAATTGATATCAACAGAAATAGCAACTGATGCCCAGCCAGAACCAAAAGCACAAAAAAAAGCACCAGTAAGAAGACGTGGCAGCGATTTAAGCTTTTTACAACAATGGGAATGGTGCAATAAGCGCCGTTCTGGTCGAAAGAAAACTGCTAACAGGCAGGACCAACTTAACGATAATATCTATGATACTCTACGAAGAATGGTGCCTGTCTCTTTAGCTCCAGATATTGTTAAAAAAAAAGAGAACCAGGAAAACAAATCTATTGATATGTCAGATTTAGATAAACTTTTTGAGGGCAAAGTAAACAGTGGTCAAAAAGAAAATGAGAAATATTTTAACACAGACAATGAACAAAAAGATGTAAAGCAGTTTATTACTAAGTACACAGAGAACAAAAAAGATATCATTGATATATTAAAGGATTACTTACTTATCTTAGCCAAGAAATGGAGAGCAATATGGCCTGAAGAATTGTCTAAAATTTTCATCGAAGCTAATAAATGTTATAATAACCATATTGACATTCCGTCATGCACAGATGAGAATAACCATGAAGATTCAATAAATTATACAGTAATTAATATACTGGTAGAAGAGTTTTCTGTCAATGAAAAACTAATTTCAACTACAGTGGAAAAGCAGTCACATGATTTAAGTGTAATTGAAACAATAGGAATAGGTTTAAATATGAAACCACATATTTACTCTGGAACTGATTGTTTGGAATTAATGCTAAGGTATCTTTGGGTGAAACTACATATACACATTTTGAATAAATGTGAGGAATTTGCTTTAGATTGCCTGTATCAACTATTATATGAGTTTGAAGCTATGGAAGACCACCATGACACCTACAATTTAAATGTTGTTAATTTTACATTTAAACCAATCATAAATGAAAGTGAGGTGTTAGAATCCATTAAATTTTTTGAAAGAAATAAAAAGTTAGCAACAGTCATGGACCTATATGACAGAGGTTGCTATGAAGAAGTGTTGACAATTATTTTAGATTCTTTTGAACACTGTAAGGATATTGCTAGAAATCAAGAGGATGACATGTCTTTAGACTTTGCAGTGCAGTTGTCCCTTATATTAGATGCATATTGGGCTTTAAACAAAGTTGATGAATGTTTCAAGTGGTCTTTAATATGTTTGCATGAGGCATTAAAACATTATTTTAGGTACACTACAGGATCAACAGATTATGAAAAGTGGACTCTAGCTGTTGTCAAAATACTTTGTAGTATGGATCATATACTGACTACAGAAGGTCTGTCTTGTTTAGATGCAGTTTCTCAAAAAGAACTTAGTCAGGGTCTTGATGATCTTATTAGAATAATTGGTCATCAAGTTGAAACTAATGCAACAGAAATGCCTTTTGGTTCTGTAGTTCCTTGGATTGTGATGCACTACATATTACAGCGAGAAGAAGATCAAGGAAGAGGAAGAACTCATAATGACAAAGAAAAGGTATCTTGTGATGAAATTCCTAATTCGTTGATGTTATTGTTCATAGCACATGAACAGTTAGGTGAAAAGGGTTGGTGTTGCAAATCAGACGGGAAACTTCTCTATTTCATTCTTGATACAGTTGTTCCTAGATTGCGCTCACCCTCTTTGTCCAAGTCTTTGGAACAGATCTGTCAATATATGGAACAATGTGTTTATTGTCTATTTGGCCATCCTGCAAAGAAACCCAAAGTAAAATATTTAATTGATCACAAAATTACACCACATTCATTAGATTGGAAGAGAGCTCAACAGCTGTATGAGATTTTTAGACCACCTATTCTTCCAGCTTTAGAAGGTAAAATAACGGGTATTACAACTGAAATTGAGCAATTATTCCATCGTATCTTAGCCTTGCTACCTCCTGAATGCGACCCGCAGAAATATGTACACGAAATGAAAAAATATATTAAAGGCGTTGAAGATAAACTACCAACAGTGCCACCACTTTTACCTTATAAAATGAAAGATATTTATTTCCTTCTTGGTGATTATTATTTCAAAAAGGAAGAGGGAAATTTGTCAGTCAAATTTAATATGCTTGATATAACAATAAATAACGACCGTCTTGAATCTTGGGCCGAAATATCGTTAGCTAAGGCAGTTAATCTAGAGAGAATATTGAATTCTTGCAAGAATTTTAATAATGAAAGAGAATTCTTGAATCCTGCTAAATCAATTATAAGATGTTTCAAAAGATCGCTGGAATTGGATCCTACACATTGTAATATGTGGATTGAGTATGGAATATTTGTGTATACGGTTCATTCTTTTTGTTCAAGACTTTTAAAACAAGCTAGTGAATCGCTTAGTATGGAAGATTTTGAATCCTTAGAAAAACAAAAAGAGAATATGTTAGATACCACACAAAAATGTTTTATCACTGTTCTTAGTGATCTTAACAGTAGCAGTGACACAGAAAAAGCAAATGAGGACTCTTGGCTTCACTATTATATGCTGGGAAAAGTAGCTGAAAAAAGGAATAAACCTCCATCTGTTTACCTTGATTATTACATGAAAGGCGTTAAAAGTTTACAAGAGACTGATGCAACTTATCCAATGAAAATTAATTACAGTTCACCAACAAACCTTTGTATCGAAGTATTAGAACTGCATTATAGAATTCATGCGTCTATTCTAAAATATATAGAACAACATGAGAATAAATCTATTCCTTCATCTGTGGGAAAAGTATTCACAGCCTGTATAGAAGAATGGAAAAAAGGACCGTTTTCAAAAAAATCAAAAAAAGATACTGGCAATGAAACAGATACTGAAGCAAAACCGGAACCAGTTCAAGCGGCTAATATACTTAAACGCTCAGTGAGTGACGCAGGTGAAGAGGAAACTATGGAAGTGAAGCGACAAAAGTTAGAATCTGCTGCGGCGAAAGTTCGAAGGTCAGCATCTTATGATACAGAACGAATTGCTTCTAAAGAACCACCAGTTACTAACGCTGAGACTGTAGTATTTGTTCAATCAGATAAAGCTTCTGAAGTTGTAGCAGTGGGAGAAATAAACCGAGATGCTGAAAAAGTAACAGATGAATTGAAAAATATTTCTGAAGTAAAAAAGCCAGACGATAACTCTGATAATATAAAAACCACAATAGAAAATAAAAAAGAGAGTGATACAGAGAGAAAAGAGGAATCATCAAGTACTACATCAACATCGTCGTCTTCAGATTCTAGTTCTAGTTGTTCTTCTACTGACAGTAGCAGTGATTCTAGTCGGGATAGTGATACTTCCACTAAATCATCTGGTGATTCCAAACCATTGACTGACGAGGAAATCATGACAATAGTGGGAGCTTGTTTAGATGCTTTAGAAGATTGTGCGAGTAGATTCCCGCCTCATTACAAGGCAATATACAGGTTAGCCCATTATCACTTTTATTATAAGAAGGGTAAAGATATCGAAAGGTGTAGAGATCTTATGCTGTCGACCTTTACATCCAGGTCAGGACAGAAATTAGGAGGTTTATTTAGTGAACGAAAAGCTGCAAATTTTTTCAATAATATATGGAAAATTCCATTAAATGAAGTAGACAGAGGCGGTGGATTCGCATTTCACATGAGTCGATCGGTTCAGTTGACAATGGAAATTCTAAAAGAAATAGATGATCATAAAACATTGCTCGATTTAAGTATGCAGTTACAGAGAACACCAGAACTCGATAAGAAATACTTAAGAGACTCGGATAGGGAAGAACTAGCGCACCAAGCATTTTCTCTTTGTGTACAATCACTGAAAGGGCAACTCACGAAGTTTAGCCAACAAGCCGACCTGAAAAGTAATGATGTGGAGAAACAAGCACTAAAAAGTTTAACTCTAGATATTTACAGAGCATATATGAAAGCGCAGAAGCAACCCAATTCTAAACAGTTTACAAATTTACTTGTTGAAGCTTACAAATTGATTTGTCCAACCCCAATAATAGAAAACATGAATCTTGTAGATCTCAGTATGAAGTACTGCCAGTCGCTTATACAAACTTTAAAACAGCAAGCAACTCTTGCTAGCTTAGATAAAAGCCAGAATGCACAAAAGAAACAAACAGCTAAAGCAGCTGAAAGTGTCAAATTGGCATCTACAATACCTAATCCGCCGAAAGTGCAGCCGGAGGCAAAGGCTCCGGTAACTTCAGCGACGGGGCCTGGATTACCGAAAATGTCTCCTCAAGAAATGGCAGCAGCTTTCCAGAGTTACTTGCCGATGTTGAACGATTCACTAAGTCAACGGACTGCTGCTGCGTTATCTTATTTGAACAATATTAGCGCTTTAGCTAGCTATACGTCTTTGCAAAATCCATTGCAAACAACTTTACAGAACACTCTTCAGAATACGTTTCAAGCAGAATTTTACCGTCAGTATATCGGCCAAAATTACTCATCGACGTACTTGCCACCCACAAAGAAACAGAAGCGAGGACCAAAACCTTCTAACACTCGTCCGACAGCTTTTAATACCGCTCAAATAAAGAGCACAAAATCACCTAGCACTTCTATAACCACGGTCGCGAAGGTTACGCCTTCTTCAGCATCTAATTTACAGAAGTCTTCGTCGGTATCATTAGCCCCTAGCATGGGCACAGTGTTGCCAACTTTGCCCGCCTCTATGACGGTTAACTTATCCACTTACAGCGCATCCTCTCATTCAACTTCGCTTTCGTATACCAACGTGCATAGTTCGGTACCGGCTCAAGCCCATATGTCTAGTGCTTCTACTGTGAACTCTGCGATTCATACAAAACCTCCAATGCCATTACAGCAAGTGAGTCCAGGTAAAACGCTCCAGGAAAAATTGGCGGAACGTCAGAAAAATATGCCAAAAACGGTACATTCGCATGAAATAAACGCATCTATTAGCAAGCTGCCATCGTCTGTAACGGTAACAAAGACTTCCGTTTCTAAACAGGTGGTTATTCAAGGCAAAAAACCTGAAGTTAAAAAAGCGCTTCCATTTAGTGGAGATAATCGGCCAAAACCAATTGCATCTGACGAGGTCATAGTATTAGACGATGATTAGACTGCTAGTATAGGATTAAATTTGATGATAGGATTAATTATGATTATTTAAATATAATTTTATGTAGAATGTGTATTATTATAATAATAACGTCGTAAATTAATAATACTTGTCGTTTCATTTAAATTTTATTATAAAACAATATATTATAAATTACAATTTTATTTAATCTTAGTATAACTACTTACATTAACATTGTGAATTCACGAAGATATTTTTTTATAATGAGTTTTTCTGATTATATGTTGATAGTCTGTTTAAATAATTTAAACACACAATTATTAATATTATTTATATACAATTTTACATAATTATAAAAATTTACTGTACAATCTATTTTCACGATATCTCCCTTATGGGGTAGGCACAGAGAAATGGGAGTCGTAAATCTCTATTTTTACATACATGTCATTTTACGACCTGTTGAAATTGAGTATAATTTTTTATCTTTGAATTTTTACAAACTTTTTGCCCACTATTGCGTACACGTGAAAAGAAATATAACACTTCTAGATTTCGTCTCAAGAAAAAAACATACAGCACATTTCAAGTTAGACCTCTAAGAATACAACTGAATCTAATTTAGTACAGTTTTTGCGTGATATCGGAATAAACATGTTTTTTTTTTACAACACAGGGGCAAACGAGCATGCGGCTCACCTGATGGTAAATGACTACCGCCGCCCATGATCACCCATAACACCAGCGGCATTGCAGGTGTGCTGCCGGCCTTTTAAAAAGGAATATACTCTTTTCTTGAAGGTTCTAAACATTATTGCTTTAATATCTATTATTTTTATTAGGGCTCGTAATATTTTTTCTTAAGTACCTCTCGTGTACTGACATCTCGTCTTTACAATTTCACCACATACCCACATTTCAAACATTTATCATGGTTATAAATGCGTTAGTTACATGGGCATTAAAATTCAGTCAAACTTATTCTAGCTAGACAATTTTCTAGTTCAAATTAATTGAATTGTTACTTCAAAACATATTGGTTAAAAAAGTATATTTTATAGAACTATACTTGTCTTATGACATTATTTGCCATAACCCCCGGCTTACAGAGGTACAGACTAGGTATTTATAGAAACATCAATACTCGCTACTTATAAAAAATAATTTAATAGCATAATTTTGATTTAGGAAAATATGTCTATGTGTAAACAGCCAAAATACATGAGCTGCAATCTCTTTGATCGGTTTTCTCGCTGGCCGCTAAGACATTCGACAGACAAAACTGCCTTTGATAAAACAAATTACTACGGCGAAGCTCGACTAAGAAGACGGACATCATTTTGAAGACAAGAAATTTAGCCTTTTTATTTTAATGCTTTAAACGTCTAAATTATGAGCTTGATGACCTTTTGTGCAACCCTCCTTTTTTCGACCTTTCAAATGGTCCTTCGAGCCGGAAAGCAGCGCGCCTATAGGACACTATCTGCTAGAAGGTTCTTAAAACTCTGTATTTCAGCGCTCTGTACTTCAAAGGCGGCGAGACGAGAAATAAATGTATTTTAATAGATTGTTGATATTTTTTATTTATTAGCGAGTATTTCCGGGCCACTAAACTTCATAGTAACATACGAACTGTCACAATACAGTGATTATAGTACTCTGTAGTGATAGAAGTTCATGAGCATTAAGCTAAAGTTCCATCCAGCCAGAAGACTGCCCAGGTATGCCAGTACAAGGATGGGCAATGGCAGAAGGAATACTCGCGCATTGTGGACAATTGGTAGATCTGAAAATTAATATGAAATACATAAGATGCGTCTCGTAAAAGTCCTTAAAAATCGCAAATACAAAATAAACTTCACAAATAGAGTTTATAGATTGAAAAATTGCAAACAAGCTAATACTGTGTTCTAGTATGTAACTGACATTTTGGTTGTTTTTACTGTAAAAAAAATATACTGAGTGACTCCAAAAATGGAATTATAATCTTATATAATTAAAAAGCTAAATTTAATGTCTGTCCTATTTATTACTTCTTATTGGCCTTAAATTTAAATAAAGAATCATAACTCATAGTCAAATGATTTACTGAACTTGTAATTTACATTTTAGTACTTTTTTCTATTGTTTTAATTTGCCATTCGAACTACGCTATAACATATGGAGTATAGTGGTCATATTTAGTAGTTTTAATTGATAAGAGATGCACATGATTTGCTTAAACCATGCATTGTTTGTCAGCTCGGCAGTCAATGTTAGAATTTGGCATAGGCGTATTTAGGGGAGAGCAGGGTGGGCCAGGCCCACAGGACGCGAGTGATGCTATGAAAACATGTTGGAGACTATATATGCAGCTTTTTTGAAGGGCCAGGCTCCTCCCTCGAAAATAATCTTAAATACACTAATAGAATTTGGAGAGATAATACCTAAATGTTGAATTAATTTACAGTGTACAGAGACAACACTTTAGTCCTCAGAAATGGCAACGCATTGGGAGTATTATGGGTGAAACAGTATACTCTGTTATATCCATGTTACTACTTTACATAAGGTGAGCTATCAGCTTCTTTCCTAAGTTGCATAAAATAAAATCCTTAGTGATGACAATGTATGGGGGTAGCATATTTTGTGATATCCACGCTACTATTAATTAGATTGCCATTCCTGAGTATTAATATGTTATGCATGTGTTTTGTAATGTCATTGTTGAAACCGAAATAAATTTTCTTGAATAGAATAAAATATTTACTCACTGCTATATCCGAGAAATGTGATGTACAAGTAGTAGATGATGGAGGCCAGCCAGAACGTGTTTGATACGAGGCACGACAGGTTGCCGCCGTAGATCAGTAGATCTGGAACAGAGAAAAGATATTTGAGAATTTATTGAATGACAAAGCAACACAATAAATTTAAGAACTGTAAAAGTATAGTAAGGCTATTGGTGAAAAAATCTCTCTAAGATAAATAGCAGAATGCCAGTTTTTAATAATAGAGGCGTATTATAAGAAATGAGAAGTACTTGAACCATGAGATGTGACTTTCAAGTACTAATAAAATTGGAGTGTTGTATTAAAAAAATAATTGTACATTACTATTTGATCTTAGTGTAATTTAAGTCTGTTTATATCTGTAACACTGTAACCTAAATTTATTGTGCTTGCCTTTTCCTAGAGTTAGTCGTAGGTCAGTATTAGCGTACCAAGTACCTCTGGGTAAACTTGAAGGCATGCCCTAATGATGGCAAAAAAGATCAGTCAATAAAATATTAACATTGAATTTGTTTTTTTTTTTATACAACTTAGAATGGCAAACAAGCTGATGGCCCACCTGAAAGAAAGTAGTAACCGTCGCCTATAAACATGAGCAGTACATGTAGCATATGTAGTACATGTAGCACCCTCTTTGGACTTTGCCCCTTTCTCGCCTCTAAAGCTGACATTAGTTAGCTGATTATTTCAGTTCCTTGTCAGGACAAAGAGTCTAGTTGCTTAAGATATACAAATTATACATACTGTGAAACAGCACTATCTGGACAAGGTGAAGAAGCAGTAGTGGCGGGAAGAATGCATTGATGTGCACATCAAATGCATAGCCCCACTCCACATCCGGTCCATCTGGCTCCCGTCGCAAATATTTGTTGGTCACATACCTGCAACAAATATATTTTTTATATAATACTTAAAATAGTAAGCTGATGACCCACCTGGTGGATAACATTTGTAGTGGTACAGATAATGTGTAATTAAATTAATTCAATAACCTTATTGATTTAGTTATATGTTTATTTTATGCTCAGTTACTTTATCATAATATAAAGACATGTCAACATTGTTTATTAACAGTTCAAGTATAGGAAGAAAATATAAATAAAACTTATGAAATTTACCAAAAAATTGTGGAGACAAGTATAGCAGCTCCAATGAAGTCCACAAATATCACAAACAAAACAAATAGGGCCACTTTACCCCATGTGAGGTTCATAATCAGGGCAAAGCATATTGATGAAACTGAAATACAAAAAAATATTTTATAGCATTACCCAGTTTAAACTTAAATCTCCAACATTATTTTATAATTTAATTTGTTTTTATACAGTTTATATTTGTTGAGACAGGGGAGGGGGGATTGTTAGTAATGGGGCGAGTGGCTCCATTACTAGCAATTTACTCAGCCAGTTCAACCTCCATATGGTTCTTTTTGGAAACCATCATAGTTAATTTCTCAATGAATTTGTCACTATAGGCCAACTGACCTGACTTCATTGTCATCTATTATCTCTCACTGGTGTGCCACCATATATCGATCATGCAGACAGAGTTGTTTTATTATCATCCATTAAAAAATAAGGCAATTTTATAAACTATTTCATAACATTATTAAAATAAAACTTTAAATTAAGATACATACAGAATAGCCATCCACAGAGTAATACTAAAAAAGCTGGATCATCTCTAGCAAACTGTGATTTTGTATCTGAAAATTAAAAAATAGAAACATAATTAAATTTTTCATAAGAACCTATGTATGGTTAGATTATTTACATTATAAATATATTTAATAGCATGGTTAGATCCTTAGTTTCATGTATGGCTAATTTTTTCGAATTTATTTATTTTATTTATTTATTTAACACTTTATTGCACCAACATAACATGTTTTGTTAAAACAATTTTCAATACGTATAGTGTAGTACTAAAGGCGGTCTTATTGCTAAGCAATCTCTTCCAGACAACCTTTGGGTAGAAAGGATTAAAGCATAAGTAGGTAGGTGGCGCGTTAAAAAAGATAGATTTGTAAATTTACCTGTATATTGCAAGTCAAATTGACTTGAATTTGTTTACTAAATTATAACTTTGAAAATTTACATCAGGTAAGTAAAGATATAATTTAATATTAACTTACGTTTTCTGTAATTGAAATTCCTAAATACTTTCTGTGGTGCCACAAATAAATAGACCATTTGCCAGGCTGCAAATTCGAAGTCCATTTGGTTAAATTTGAATAGCCTTCTTAGATATTTATAACGTTTAACCGCTGCACTAGCTGTCGTGGCCTGGTAGTTGGCTGGAGCCGGCAGAGGAGAGGTGCTTCTTGGATAATTATTGTAACTTGGGGTGGGTGAAGTAGAATATTTCATATTGAAACTATTTTCTCACTTATCATAAACAGTGCTGGATATGACGATTAATGGGTTGGTTTCTGTCTGTGACGATTTCTAAATAATAATGATCACATTACAAATTTATTTATGAAATGAGATTTAATTATAATAATTAACAAGAGACAATTAAGGAAAGAAATAAAATTAAATTGGATTGTAATCGACTGAGTAAACTAGGTAATCACGAAGGTATGTTGTCTGTTATCTGTCAGATTGAGAGATTGACTAATGCTGACTGATACTGACATTGACAGAACACCTGACCGCATGACTGTAAATTGTAATCATAGATTAAGAACAGTAGTTGAAATAAAGTAGGTGTGATAGTCAATAATTAAACGATATTGGCTGTCAATTTTACTTTTTAACGTATTCTGTATTATTTAAAAGCTCTTTCAGTTACTATTCTTAATTTACATTTTAATGTTATTTAGACAATTAGCGATGATGCTGCCCCTTTAGAACGATTTGTAAACTAAAATTACTAATGTGACATTTCTTTTTTGCTACTGGATTGCAAACGGCAAAGAAATTACCAAGAGTGTAACCATACGTCTCGCTTTGACAGTACCCAAATCAAACGTAATTATAATTACTACACACCACCATAGTTCTCATTAATGTAAATCTATTTAGGGATACCATGGTCATATAATCTGTGATGGGTTGATCATGGCGCTGTTCATGCTCATAAGAAGCAGTTACCACTTTCTATCAGGTGGCCCGTCGGTTTGTTTGCCATTCCAAGTTGCATAAAAAGACTATATTACTAGGACGCTTAAATTTTCTTTGTTTTTGTGGATTAGGATCGTGAATAAAAGACTTGAATATTTAGAATTATATTTATTAATACAATAACATGTTAAATAAATACGTTAAAAACGCTAAAAAAATACAACTTATAAAGTTAGGCAGTCGATCGTCTAATAAACAGTCTAGCACCACTCTAAATAACCAAATAAATTAAATTACAGTTAAGAATCTTATGTAAATGAATGACGAAAAAAGTATTTACCTAATTATGGCGATTTATTAAATATTTTATTTGGTAACTGTAAGTATGAATTGATATTGTAGATAAATAAATATGTAGATGGCTAGTGTGTGAAAAAAAATATGTCAAGACAGTTGTATGTGTGGGCACTTCTACTCATGTTTTGTCGCTAAACAATATAGCATCTGTGATTGCAAGGCTGTATTTTAGATCTAAGTGTGGGAAATGGCTGTAAAATCATTGGGTATGTAGGCGTAACATATTAGTGTAACTCCATGTGCTTAGCAATGGTTACCGTTTTCTATCAGGTAGCGCGTTAATTTTTTTGTTTTAGTTTTTATCTATAGGTACATATTATTATAGAATAAACTTTTGTGAAATAAATAAAAATGAAACTAGTAGAAAAAGTTTACGACTTTCCATCCTTCCATCTTTCCATCCCACCAAGATTCGCCTTGGTCGGAACAATTTAGGAAATCGATGCGTCAGAGTGACGATACGTTTCCAATTTCTAATATTAAAAAAAAAAAAATTAACCACACTCTTCTTGTCGATTTATTATTATTTATTGCACAAATATGGATGTACAAGGCGGATATAATGTAAAGAGCGTTCTCCCCTGTGAACTTTTATCACCTATTAGGTATGGGTCACGGTATAAAAATTCCGGTCCACAAAATAGCATTTCTAATTCGATCTAATGGGTAATAGCGCCAATATAGATGTAAGCGCATACATTATATTATTTTCACAGCAATCCGCGACTGTATATTTACAAACACATTAACTTCGTTTCTTCAGCAGTCGAATGAAAAATACAAAAATCCCTACACAATATTCTGGTGTAGCCAATTATTGTAATGGGTGGCCCGTGTGTACACGCCTGGATATCCCGGTTCGCCGCACTTGTTCCCGAAGGATACCACGCCTATTTGCGTCCACCGGCCATTCGCTAAAAGCATCAGCGGTCCCCCGGAATCGCCCTGGGAACAAATAAATAACGGTCACGTGGACATTAGGTTCGACCGCAAACGTGGATTGCTTAGTTTTATTGTAGGCATGGAATGAAAAGATACCTTTATTGCCCACAACTGTAGGTAAATATAGTGACACGTTAAATGTTATATAATAAATATATGGCAGTGAATATACAGGGTACAGAGGAATAACACCTGAGTGTATTAACAGTGGCAACGCAACGCGCTCATGTCTTTAGGCGATGGTTACCACATTCCATTAAGTGGGCCGTCAGATTGTTTGCCATTCTAAGGTGCATAAAAAAAATCCGGCCAAGTGATTAGGATGTATTTATCCCTAATTTGTAAAGCAGAGTTCCAAAGATTTCTTGTAAGAAATCGTTTTTGTTTTCAAGACCAGTGATTTTTTTTCTGTACAGGTACAGAGTAAATAACTGGTTTTTGTTTTTGCTAAGTTTACTAATATAAATCTTTTGGTGGTATCTATCATACCTGACAAGCATCGACGCCTCCTCTGGCGTATCCAGCGCATAGAAATGTGTCGGTAATGGGCTGGAAGTACGCCCGATCACAGTCTTCGTTCCTCCACACGGGCAGCTTAGCTTCCAGCTGCTTGGTGCTCTCTCCCCCACCGTACCTGGTGGTGCCCCAACCCACGACGGTGGCCAGTGCCCCGTCGAACTGCTGCCGAGATAACTCTCCAGTTGGCAGACAGATGGGTATCACATATTTTGATTTTTGAACGTTTTCTGCAAAGTGGACGATTATCACTTATTAAATGTAAACCATAATTCATCCATTGACTGGGGATGGATCTTTCCATATTATTGAGTAATTTTCACGCTGTTCAGAAGGCACGACATAGGCCTACGCCTATAGAAAATTCGAAATAAATTCGAAATATGTCTACATCTATTTCGAATTTTCTTTCTCTCGCACTAATATATTATATGCTTTACTTCCTTAATTATTTAGTAGAAGTATTAAATAAATAATTAAAATACCAGAGGAAAATATCTATGGTATTCGTATCTCATTACTGTTATGCTTGATAGTAGAATCATAAATGACTAGACACTTACGAGTATGTCTCTTAGCAGCAATATTCGTATGGCTGTGTTTCGGTTTGATGAGAAACATTAAAATTAGGGAAAGCGGAGATCTAATACCTTAATCTTCAGGTAAGACTTCAGGTGCGTCTAGGGTATTTCAATGTGGGGCCCTCGCCCCGCAGGGGGGCAATTTAATAGTAAAGGGGGGAGGCAATTACAAAATGGACGTGAAGCGATTTTAACCCTCTTGCTCCGGGCCATTTAAATGCAATGCTACGAGTAGGTATCGGTGCCAAATTTAACAAAAAATGTAAATTAAAAAAATTTTGTAAATATTTATTAGGTATAATTTCGTTTGACATTACCAAAACATCGACTAGGCGATTAGAGTCGTCAAGTAAACTTTGTCGGGAAAAATTATGTATGGGGGCATAAAATCTTAGAAATATCAAGTGGGCATGACATAAAATAGGTTGGGCAACACTGGTCTAGGGCATTACTGTCTATAATACTTAGTGAATAGTTACATATTTCTCTACCACACTGACAAGTTATACAACATCGATTCTTTCAAATATTTGAGGATGTCATAAGGTGAAACTACAATAGTTATGCATTGTAATAATTGCTATCAATATAAATGATTCAAATACTAACCAGCTAGCACAAGTACAGCTATGTCGTTATAAAATCCGACCCTGGAGAACTGGTCGTGAGCTCGCACTTCGGTGACACGGAGTGTGATCGGCCTCGAGGGCTCGTCATCTCTAGCCAGATCTACGTCTCCGAGACGCACGCTGAATTGCCTCGCGGGGAAACTGTTGGCATTAAGAACAGGTGGAGCTGAGTTGTTTATGAAAGCTATAAATACTTTATATAAACAAATAAATAGTCCAGAAGATATTACATAGAGTCAGGTAGAGCCTAACTGAGTAGTTACCTTGAATATATCAACAAATAATTTAGTTCCCTTAAAAACAGTAAGTAATCTTTTTTATGATATTTAGAAAGGTCAACAAGCTGACAGTTCGTTCGATGGAAAGTGGTAACAGCCACCTACAAACATAAACAGAAGTGAAGTTTATGTAGCGATAAGATTAAACGAAAGAGCAGCTATAAACTGTCAAAAATATTTGGTAATTACGACTTTAAAAGATTTAATAGTCGGACTTAATGAGCTTTGTTGTATCCGCATGTTTTTAAGTTGAATTACAAATACCAAAATGCCATACGGTCTCTGCTTAGAATCTCTGGTGCAATGGGCAGCAGTGAGAACGTGCCGCTTGGCGATCAGGGTGCCCCCGCACCAGAACTCTCGTCGCTTGCTGCCGTGCAGGAAGATCGCTGCCATCCACGGCCACGCCCCGGGTTTGGACTCCGTGCCACCAACTATACGGCCACCCTCGTCTTCTCTCTGACCGCAATCTGAAATGGAAAATGCTAAGTTTTTGTTATAGTATTGGTAATGGAGATGCTGATAGTTTACTGGTCCAATATTGCAACTATTATCACACTTTATATCATTGTCTAGAGATTATTAGAAAATACTGTGTCATCAATCAATCCCCATATACTTCTTTTGCATTCAAACATCTCTTTAAAAAATCGATGGTTCATGTCCTAATTTTCCTTTCATTAAGGATATTGTCAATCTGTTTGATATGACAGCACTACATTCGTACTAATTTTAAGGATACGAAAGTGAGTTTGTTTGTTTGTAATATTTTCACGTTTGAATTGTAAGCAGAGAGATAAGTAGTTTAAAGAAAGGATGGTCACAGATGATGACCTTGATAAGTATCAGTATTAGACAAATTAGATATTATGAAATTATGAACTCACCATTTATATCGACTATGTTCGAATAATTTCCGATAATGGGAGGTGGAACGGTGAAGAAAGTGGATGTCGGTATCGGACGAGGCGTGGTTATCGCTGTTGTTGTTGTAGCAGGTCTTGTCGTAGGTCTGGAAGTGGTAGCTGTTGTCACGGGCTTTGGCTTCTTTGTAGTGAGTGTCAAGATTGCAGAAGGCTTCTTCGTTGGTTTCTGGAGGGGCCTCTGCGTTGTCACAGGTACAAGATAAGTAGGCTTGCTCGTTGTGGTCAAAACTGGCTTCTCAGCAGCCGGTGTAGACAAAACAATTGCATCTTTGGGGCAACATACTCCAGGCACGAATAAATCTTTGAAACAGAGCGATTCTCTTAAGTTCACCAAGTTAAGCAGCAGCTGAGGACAGTTACTTAAATCTTCACAGATACCATCTTCCCCCTCAGGAGTAGTGCAATATCTTGCGTCATCTCTGCTCACATCTCCAGTCGCTATCTTAGTGATTGGCGCATCAGGAAGAACTTTTGGCAATGCTTTTTTCACTATAGGAGCTATCTTGTCTGTTACGTTTCTGCCTAAGACGTTTTTGCTGATTGTATATAGAGCTTGAGGTAGTTGTTGCAGGTTCGGATCTGATTCATTCCTTTCATTTTCATTTACCATATCAACCAGATAATGTCCTACTGTATTTATGGCACCAAGCGTTTCTGAGATCCTTGTGAACGCTGTTTCTGACAGTAGTCTTCCATCATTTGGGTTTACATTAGTTTCAGCACGGACAAGATCGAATGGTGACCTGCCTTCGTAGTTACTTGTATATGGTTGGAAATTCTGGGGCCTGCCAATTTGTGACGCGTAAGGGCTCTGATTGTATGAGAAGGGTTGAGTTCTCGGTGGTCCATCGTAGTACGCCAACGGCATGGTCTCTGGTGATCTCTTTCGCGGCGAAGAGAACTGATGCCATGGCGGATTTCTTTGCTGTACGTGAGGATTCCATTCAGCCGTTCTCCGTGTGAAAGAAACTGAAAGAAAGACTCAGTAAATTGGGATGTGTTATCAAAATTACTAGAATAATTAATGGGAATTTAGAAAAGTATTGATGCATACCTACCCGGATGGTGGACAGGGTACTGGCATCTTATTTCTGTAAGTAGGAAAATACCTGAAACGAAAAGAGGAAATAATTACAGTCAATTAAGGTCAATGTTGTTCAGACGGAGTAATGATCATTTAAGATTGTTGCTTAACGACTGGGTATTTTCTTTTGGTATGTTCTATTAAAGAGGACAATTGGTATATATTTTAATAGAAATATTTAAGTATTTCTTTAAAAATAATAATTAGTAATCTTGTGTTAATAGCTTATAATATTTATATTGACAGACAAATAAAGTAAAACATTATTACATGTAAATTTAGTCCATTATAAAGGGGTTGGATATAATATGTAGGTGTAGTGAATAATTAATATTACTCAAATAATCAAATTAAAATTTAATGTATTATATATTTCTATTCTATTTAAGAGCTGCTCTCTTGCCGGTGGAGCTCTTGCCACTCACTACGATTTTCAGCGAGTCTCTTCACCTCTTGATACGACACGTATTATATATATGTATTGTAAATTATAATTGTTGACTTAAATAATAATAAAATAAATAAATTAAATTATTGCTTTTTGTTTTAATCAAACAACCACTACCTTATATCAGAGAATTGAAAATATTTAGTATAATTTTGAAATAGTTATATGATTTATTTATTTATTTATTTAAGGACAACCAACAAAGCATATATTTATATCTGCTTAAAATACATGATAATATGGTTACATTATAAAATGCTGCCTCAATTAAAGGCCGCCACGACACGCGTATTCATAATATATTATTATTAGTAAGAAAATTTATAAAAACTACAATACTAGTTATACAATAGATAGACTACAGTAATATTTTAAATTTCAAGGATTTGTACACTTGTAATCTGTACATATGTGCAATGATACATGCCATGCTGTTATTGAGCTGAATTAAGCTGAATAAATTTAACAAAAGAATCTATACAATGATCTATTATTTTTTAAAAAATATTTAAAAGCCTCTCTGTGATTGCCAACCTGTCTGTTAAGCGTGGCCACTACTGGCAAAACTCCCCTTATGGGGAAGGTTTATGTCCAGCAGTAGACAGTTAACGGTTGAAATAATAAATAATAATATATGATCTATATTTATACACATACTGCATCATTGTAGGCTTATGACTTAAGAGCCATCATTGCCTAAGTCTTAGGTATATCTATAATTTATCATAGACAATGAAGGGGTTTTATTCTACGTAATTTATGGTATTTTTTATAATTTACGTAGACGTTATTAGATGTTGTTCTTTTGTCTTTTAAATTCGACGAGAAATAATCTTCGGCGTACATAATATAATCCGATCATAAGGGGGGAAGGGATTGTGAGTAATGCGGGCTACCAGCCCCATTGCAATATACCCTGTCAGGTCGACCTCCACGCTGTCTCCCTAAAAAACCATCGTGCTAAATTCCATATGATTCTAATTCACGATAGGCTAACTGACCTGCTTTTTTATTATTCACCTGTCATCCCTCACTGGTGCCCCGCCAGCGTATACCGATAGCGCAGGCGGGGTTACTATTTCATTATAATTCATTAAAAAAAAAACCCGGTCATAATAAAACAACTAAATGTATGCTACAATGCACACGTGTTATGCAAGTAAGTACACGGCTTACATAAAAGGAACAGCGATGTGCCCAGTCGATCTCTTTTGTAATGGAATATTTTAGTATCACTACATGGTATAAAACAAAGTCGCTGTCGCTGTCCGTCCGTTCCTATGTATGCTAAAATCTTTAAAACTACGCAACGGATTTTGAAGCGGTTTCTTTAATAGATAGAGTGATTCAAGAGGAAGGTTTATATGTATAATACATGCATAATATAGTAGAGGAACATCGATAATTTTAAAGGTTTCTAATGTAATGTTGTAATGGGGCGGCGGCGGTATTTAGTATCAGCATTTGCACGGGTCGCGTGATTATAAAAAAAAGTCTACCGTTTGTGTGAGTTATCAAGTACTTTAGTAAACTCGAGTAATGTTTCAATGATATGAAGTAATATTTAATTTAATATCAAGTAATATTTCAATGCAAAAGTATAGTTATTTAGTAATTAACCGACTTGAAGAAAGGAGGAGATGCTCAATTCGGTTGTATTTTTTTTTATGTTGGTCACTTCACAACTCCGTTATTTAGAAACCGATTTGGAATATACTTTATGATAAAAAAAATAGAAATTTTATTAAAACCCAGTCAGTATTTTAGTTTTTAATCAAAACGATTGTTTTTTCCACAACTGAAGTTTTTTTTTTGTGGAACACAACTTTTATATATTTTTTTAAATTTTGTAATTGAGAAAAAAATAAATAAATAAAAGAAAAGTAATAAAAATCCTATAAAGATCCTATAAATATCCTTAGTATTTGAGTACCGCAAGTATCTATTCGAAACTTGTGTCCGAATTCAGTAGGTATATTAAGTACTTAAGTATCTAATAGGTATTCCAGTTAGTACATCAGTGGACCTCATTTGGTGTACACCACTGAAAAGGAAATCTCACTTGACAAAAAGTCTACCGTTTGTGTAGACATTTATGGTTGATACAAGAAAAAAGCCGGTCAAGTGTGGGTCGGACTCGTGTAACGAGGGTTCCGTACAAAATCATCAAGTTTAATTTGTTTTTGATTTTTTCCTTTACTTGTGCTACGTGACATTGCTTCTTGCCAAATGTCATGATTCTATGTCAACGGGAAGTACTCTGTAGGTTTTGATTCCCTTTGCGAATGTCATAATATGCGATATAAATGGAACGTAAACGGAACCGTATCTTTCGATTGCTACGATTTAGAAGCTAGATTTTTTCACTGTTTCAAGAGATTGCAGACCTGAGTATATGATATTAATTTCAACTTGATACCTCCACGCGTTTCTAAGAAAAAGGGTCTTGACAGACGGACGAACGGACGTTTTCTCCTTTAAGAAAAATATGAGTGAATAAACAGGCATAATAAAAGTTTCAAAATACGAAACAAGTTCCAAAACTCGCATATCCTTGTTTCGGAGTAACGCCAAAAAAGCAAGTGAAACCCATCGCACCTTATGAGGTTTTGTCCGTCATTAGTTGTGCAATTTAGAGAAATCTCGAACTATCTCTTCCAAGAATGGTTCACAACATTTATTTATTTATTCTTTATTGACCATATTACAAAAAAATGTCTGGTGCAAAAGGCGGACTTAATACTATATAGCATTCTCTCACAGTAAAATTTTGGCGAAACAGAAATTTTATTATGCGGCGAAAAAAAAAACTCACTTTCAGTTGATCTGAAAGTGAGTTTGATGTTGATCCCGTGAAGAGACTCGCTGAAAATCGTAGTGAGTGGCAAGAGCTCCACCGACAAGAGAGCAGCTCTTAAATAGGATAGATAGGCGAAAAAAAAAATTGAAAAATGTTGCAAATAAATATTGATACGTACGTAACGATATACTTACAAATCACAACACATATAATGCAGAATTGCTGCACTTTATGATTATATAAATATACATACATGAATTCATGATATCGTCATAGTCGTAGAATACTGACGGATCTTTATATGTAATCTTTGTCAGATCCGTCAGTATTCTACGAATATGACGATATGTTGAAAATTATAATCGGTAGGTATATAATGGGGTAATGAAATCTCAAAGCTCAAAGTTTGAAAACAAAAGTCTTTAACCAGGTTTATTAGCTCATCGTGATGAATACACCATTCATCACGATGGGCTAATCGACCTGCCTGCCTTTTGACCGTCACCTATCATCCCTCACTGGTGCCCCGCCAGCGTATACCGTTAGCGCAGGCGCGGATACCACTCCATTATTATCCAGTAAAAAAAAAACACGACACCATTATATTACGTCATATCTCAAATCCTTACTAATATGTGAAAGTGAGTTTTTTTTTGATGGGTGAAAATGGTATGGTAACCCCGCCTGCGCTAACGAAATACGCTGCCGGAGCACCAGTGAAGGGTGATAGATGAGAATGTAAAACAGGCCAGTTAGCCCATCATGATGAATTCATCGGGAATTAACCATGATAGTATCCAGGGAGAACTGCGAGGAGGTCGACCTGGTTGGGTATATTGCTAGCAATAGGAGTCTCAGTCTCCATTACTAACAATCCCTTTCCTCCCTGTAAAAGTGAGTTTGTTTGTTGCACTACACTATCTTAACGGCTTAATCAATCGCTATGAAATTTGGTATACACTATAGTACGTGTATTCCAAATACTTGGGATGGAGAAAGGTAAGGCTATTTTATATCTCGGTCGGTAAATATAGATAGATAGATACTCTTTACTGTTTCCTCCATAAGATTACAATACATTACAAACTCTAAGGTTGTCTTAAAAAGATTGCTCTCAGCAATAAGACCGCCTTGCTGTACTTATACAATTGTACCATTGAGTTTGTAAATTGTCTTGCTTATTTCCTATATTGTATAATGCAAACAAATTATACTCATTCATTCATTCATGCAATAGTAAACTTATTATAAATACAAAAAAAAAAAAATACAAGAAAAATATTACAATAAGAAAACAATGGGTGGCCATATTGCTAAAAGCGATCTCTTCCAGGCAACCTTTGGATGGAGAGGAGTATTTATAAACAATTTGGAGGTATCATGGGCGAAACAGTCTATTCTGTTATGTCTATGGTACTGCTCATGTCTATAGGCGACGGTTACCACTTTTCATCAGGTGGGCCGTCAGCTTGTTTGCCATTCTAAGTTGTATAAAAAAAAAACTGTAAATATAAATCAATTAGAACATAAGGATCACCAAACCAGGAGTTAACCTTAATATATTAAACATAAATAGTCGAAACTCGATTTGTAGTCATATTTGGCGTGTCATGTGAAAGTATTTGCGCAAATAAACGAGGCGATATGTTGCGCCAACGCACCTATACGGCTATTGTTCGTTCGTTGTGGTACCATTTATGTAGTAATAGTATATGGTCATTGTTTGTGATGATTTTTAAACATACTGCTTGCTTATGTGGACGGGCTAGCTGTTGGA